CTAGGGGCTCCTGGCATCGCTACTAGGGGCAAGGACACTACTAGGGGCTCCTGGCCTTACTACTAGGAACAAGGACGCTAGGACCGGAGCTTTCAATGTTTCGTGTACCTCTCGGTGGCATCGTTGAGGCTTCCCAGCAATCAGAACACTATAAGATGGGGAATTAAGTAATAGCTTCTTGTTTCTACTAGAAAGGCACTTGTTACTACTAGCTTCTTTTTCCTAGTAGTAAGGCCAGGAGCCCCTAGTAGCTTCTTGCTCCTAGTAGTAAGGCACTTGTTTCTAATAGCTTCTTGTTTCTACTAGTAAGGCACTTGTTACTACTAGCTTCTTGTTCCTAGTAGTAAGGCCAGGAGCCCCTAGTAGCTTCTTGCTCCTAGTAGTAAGGCACTTGTTTCTAATAGCTTCTTGTTTCTACTAGTAAGGCACTTGTTACTACTAGATTCTTGTTCCTAGTAGTAAGGCCAGGAGCACCTAGTAGCTAGTCTTCTTGCTCCTAGTAGTAAGGCACTTGTTTCTAATAGCTTCTTGTTTCTACTAGTAAGGCACTTGTTACTACTAGCTTCTTGTTCCTAGTAGTAAGGCCAGGAGCCCCTTGTAGCTTCTTGCTCCTAGTAGTAAGGCACTTGTTTCTAATAGCTTCTTGTTTCTACGTGTAAGGCACTTGTTACTACTAGCTTCTTGTTCCTAGTAGTAAGGCCAGGAGCCCCTAGTAGCTTCTTGCTCCTGTTAGTAAGGCACGTGTTTCTAATAGCTTCTTGTTTCTACTAGTAAGAAACTTGTTACTACTAGCTTCTTGTTCCTAGTAGTAAGGCCAGGAGCCCCTAGTAGCTTCTTGCTCCTAGTAGTAAGGCACTAGCCTCTTGTTTCTACTAGTAAGGCACTTGTTACTACTAGCGATGCACCTGTTACTAGTAGCGATGCGCCTGTTTAATATGGGGTGTAGAAAATGTACTGAACATGTAATTAGTCCTAGTCTAGATTGATCCACACATGGTAAATTTGGGGCAGAAGAGTCCGTGTTTCAGGAGACATCTAATGACAGGCAGGCATCTACAGGGCTGCAGGCTGCACCTCGCAACTCATTTCTGTCAAAAAGAAGATACCCAGGCCTGTGATGGACCACACCCCGAACAGTGTGACCCCATGAGCCAACGACCAGAAGCCTACACGAGAAAAGAAGACAAGAGTCTACCAAACCCACCAAAGTATTGTCAGGAGACAAGAATGTGCAGAAGAGCCAGATGCCTCCAATGCTTCTCCTTGCTGCCAGTTAGTACAGTAGTCAGTAGCAACTATTGGAAGTCTGCAGCCTTCCCTTGGTCTTGTCATGTGGTCTAAGGATGCCTAAGGTCTATGCTTTCAAATGACCTATTTCTTTCCCTGTTTTCAGTCACAGTGTATCAGGAGTCAGGAGCAATCATGGAATGCCTGTATACTGCGTCGGACGGGTTGTTGCTGTCTGAATGTCCTGTTTATTGACACCAGCATCCCTACTAAGGCCCTTCCAAAAGAACACAATCTGCCCATGATGCTGTACCCATTCATTTTAGTACTCGATGCTGGGGATGGTGGGGTGAAAGGGCCACCACGGGAAAACCTGGTCACACCGTGGCGGCCTCGTTCACGGGCTGCAGCCGGAAGACTGGACTTACCCGGCCCTGCACATCCGTCCGGTGATGCGAAGGAAAGCCAGAGTGAAAGCATGTGAAGACAATGCTAGAAGCCAAAAATACCGCTGGTGCGGTTCTTGGAGGATCGTGGATAATTGTGTAAAACACCTCCATCGAGTTGACATATGTTTGGGAAGTTTGGGTGTGAAGTGTTTGAGAAATCCAAGAATGTAGCTCAATCGTACTTAGTCAAACTTTTGTGAACTTTTGTGGGATTTCCGCAACGTAGGTAGAATGTCCGGATTCACCTAATTGGCTTGCAAATACGCTCATTTTTGCCCGTGCAAGATGCGGATGCACTCTGACATCACAAAACCCACAACAGTTTCCATCGATCCTCAAGTTGATCTATGATTATCTCTCCTGTCACCAGTCAGCAACGATCCTCCGTCTGACCCTCTGGAAATGCGACCGAAAACACACTTGCGGGAACCGCGCCTCCATGAAAGTCCAGCGGTTCTTCTCCACTTGGAATTCCTATAAATTCCTGTTTCTTGGTGAGATTGGTGAAGTCTCAGCCGATATTGGTCATATTTGTCCACTGTCTCAGTTGCCAGGTCTTCCAACTCCTTGGATGGGGTGAGGAAAATCCTATGTGGATCATGACCGATGCTCCCCATCTCAAGACTGCACTTGGAGCAAAGCGTCACCGAGGGCTAGCGAGGAGTTTGCGGCGAAATCAGGCTGGCTTTGGACATTTGATGTTTACCCGTGGCCTTGGACGAGATCCAGGCTTGACCAATTCCTGCTTTTGACCCTTCACGGTGGCCCAAGTCCATGTACAGGCAATGATTTTGAAAGCCTGCAACATCAGGGGATACATCCCCCCCAACACCAAGGATTTGTCCAGGCTATTTCATTCCAGGTCGGAAGAAAAACGGCCAGAGAGCTTCACCGATGTCAATGGAATCGATGTCTATCACTGTATACTCACCCAACTCATCGAAGGAATCCCAACAGGTCGAAATGGTCGCAAAAACCCGTCGAACGTCGGTGGTGGACATCTTTCAAAACCAGGCGATCTGTCGAGTTGGACCCTAAACCCAAATTCTGTGAGTCATCGGAACTCGAACTTGATTGTGTTGGTGCTTGGAATTGTCCCCCCACTGCAAGAACATGTATATACTGGTGGAATAGCAAATTCAAGGCAGTCCAACATGGAGAAATGGGTTCTTCAAGAGTCCCCACTGTATCCAGGTTCTATCGAAAGATATGATCGGGTCATAGAATTGCGATTGAAAACATTTAAACATTGGATTGGTGATGGTGATGGTGATGGTGGTGATGGTGATGATGATGACGACGATGATGACGATGATGATTCGGAAGGGCCTCTACCCGGTACCCAATCATGAAAAGCTTTACTGTTCATTACATCTCGACTCTTTTGTTATAGTGCGAATGGAGAAGACGCAACGTCAACATTCCTTTTTATCCTCTCTCAACTCTAAGAGACACGGAAGGGTCTATCCCCGCTCAGCTGCCTACGAAGGCTTCGGGCAATCCAAACAAATGGCTGCGATTCTTGAAGTGTCCAAGAATGACGCGTCAACAAACGAAGTCAGGACCCAAAACATGAAAGTCATAAACTGAGTCATGAAAGTCATTGGAGTCAGAGAATTGTTGAGCGATTGCATGCACGACTCCTTCTCGGTGCCGGCTGGAACTGAAGCCCCATGCCATGCTTGGCACATACCGCCAAAAGGCAGCTCTTCCCAAGTTGCAATCCATTCTCACAGAGTGCCCAGCTGCATGAACTTCCTTTCCACCTCAGCACCCTTTTGAGTTGAGTGATTCCTCATCGGCTGAAGCCCTACACCCAGTAGCATCGAGGAAGGTATTTGGGGAGTTGCCAAGCACGAGGCTTTCGTTCGTCCTCATTATCGATGGCTGCAAGCGCCTGTGGCGGCAACTGACTATCCAGCAAGAAGCCCACAACAGTGGTCCACTGAGTAAAGCAACGGCAAGCCTAGCACAAGTCCTTCAAAATGCTGTGGTCATATTTCCATCAGTTGCCCAGGGTCCGAACATCAAACAATTGAGGGACCATAGATACAAGGAGGTCAGGACGTTGGCTTCCGGTACAACTTGTTGAGCGAAGCAGCTAGGCAGCTAGGCTTTGTGCTTGTTATTTTGTGCATCAAAACCTCTTGAGGTGTCCCATGGTGTCTCCAGACCTTGACCCGGGTCATCCCAATCACACTCTCTTCACTGCTATGTCATGTTGTCATGTATATTCGAGACTTTGGCCCATTGGACAGACGATCCTGGCCAATGCACAACCCCAGCATGGGACCATGACCACTACGAAATAGGCTGTTAAACTATCCTGCATCCAACAACAGAAATAACACGTTTCTGTGTGTGTGAAAGAGCATCATGTCCTAAGCGACAATCTTCAATGTTCCACTTCCTGTTTGATGGATGGCGGCTTTAAAAGGGATTCCTTCTTGTCTTGCCAACTTCCTGTTGACCCACTCTTCCCTCATCTCCACAGGCGCAGAGTCTAGCAGTCTAGCACATCCGGAGTGTCCCTGCCCACAGCAAAATCAGGGGACGCTCAGTCGACGACACTTGATGTATCCTCGAGCCAGTCGAGAAGAAGCTGATGTTGACTGTGCCAGTGTGTTGGTCTGAATCGCTACACGGGAACTTAAAGGGTCAGAAACAAGCAAAAACACCCCACCGTATGCCCGATGTTGAAAGTACGGGCTCAAACAATCGACAATCAACCGTGCACATCCGTGGTCTTCATTGGTCGGCCCGTTTTGGCTTCGGTGATCGGCACTGAGGGTCCTCACAACGGTGGGCTGCGCAAGGGCGAACGCTCCGGTGGCGAAAGCTCATTCCTGGAGCAAAAGAGCGAGAGCGAGGGAGATATTTGACACCATGACGACATGTTATAACAAGCTGCCAGAATGGGATTGCTGAAAATCCTTCAGAATCCGCAAGGATTCTGGGGAGAACCTTGATCATCGTCCACGACATCTTCTGCATCTACAAGAATGGAAGTGGGTTCCTGGTTCAAAGGCAAAGTGAGACATTGTATTACAACAAGATGATGTAGAGGCATATCATGCATATCTATGGTTTGCGGTTCCCGAACTGCTCGTTTCACTATGTCCCGTGGATCTTTGAAGCGACGCAAGACTCAGTGGTGTCCGTCAGCGGTCCTCCACGCGCTTGGGGCTCGACCCACGGTCGACAGAAACGGATGAGGCAGCTAAAGAGCCTTCGCCAGTCTGAACAGTGCCAAAGAATACATCACAAAGCCCTCCTCTCCGATCACACAACTTTGCCAGTCCCACTTCCCAGTACGAAGCAGTCCACTTCAACACCAGAAGTGGGAGAGTGATGGAGTGAGTTATTTTGACATGAGAACAGCGAAACCGTTCTAGGCCAAATGCTACAATCCCTCCACCCCAAATTCCCTCTTCATTAGGTTCAAGGATCTGATTTGATCCAGGAAGGCATATGTTTGGATGCGAGCCCTGGAAAAAACACTCTAATGATGTATTCACGGGACGAGGTTCTTCGGCCATGCCAGGCTTCTTCGTGGTGTCTTGGTCCCATGATGTCTCAGGATGTCTCCATCCACCTCCAACGATGTGGTTTTCACCTATGACTGAAGCCTGAGGCTTTAGGATCTTTAAGATCAGCGATGGTCTCCATGGTCTCCAACCTAATACCGCTGGTCTCCAAAATAGAGCCCCCTGGAGTCTCAGACGCTCTCGGCTTGGAGCCCTGGGTCCCAGGGTGATTCGATTCAATCCAACTCTGCCATCGGCTTTGTCTAGGAACCCAGGACCAAGACTTATCTCAAACGGGCACTCAAAGATTTTGCCAAGAACCTCCCAAAGTGGCCCGTTTCTAAGTGCATGTCCCGTTTCTTGTGCAGCCTTGAACAACCTGTCCAGTGATCACAATACAATGAGATTGGTTGAGTGATGTTCAATGCAAATAAATGTTGCACCTTCGCTGGAAAAATAACGAAAGTAACACGCTGTGCACCCAGCGAAGAAGCTTACCACGTGACGGCCAGCTGTGTCGTCCCGAAAGGGCCTTCATTGCTGCCACCTGAAAAGAGGAAACGGCCCGACTTGGTGCGAACCCCAAAAAATCACCAACAAGGACTTGGTTCGATTGCAAATGTTGCGCAAGTGCAAATGATCAAAGAGTTCTAGATGTGGTGTATCTGGAGGCCTACCCCTATTCATCTTCTGGGCATGCCTGAAATTGGCTTGGTGCCTGAAGGCCAAGTTGGCCACCAGATGTTCGTTAAGCAGATCAAACACACCATTGCTTTGAGACAACAGCTCAGTATCTGTGTTTCCGTCAGCCAACTCGAGACATGACTGGGGCACCAGTTCCTTCGAGTGGGCCCAGCCAGGGAAACGAGTGTTTCTTCATGAGATCGACCGAAAGATCCGATATGACAAAACAGTCACTGGTCCAACAAAGCAAATGATTAATTGATTATTGATTTTTTTAGCCACCAGGTACCATGATGCAATGTGCTTGCAGTGATAACAATCAGCCTCAAGTTAGTTTATATATATGTATAAATGTATATAGTTATGTATATAAATATATATATATATGTTTATAGCAATTACAGGCAACAACAGTTAGGATACTCGCAGTTTCAACACATAAATCTGTACAACTGTATGACAGCAGCTCTTCCAAGCCTGGGATGATGTGCAGAAAATCACCCGAGTGCTATCTGAGTCGCAGACTGTGGCCAGCTGCCTTTGGAAGCCTCACAACAAGCAACAAATCCGATTGGAGTAGGCAACGAAGTGTGAAGTTGTCACTTGAGAGACCTCAAAGAAAGAGAACTGCGAGGTGTGATAAAGTCTAAGGGATTTGATGGGTTAGGACAGTTTTGCTATACCTCAGGCCCTCTGGACCTGAGGGATGGAGCAAAACAGTGTCAGCCGATTGATTGGAGCAGTGACACTTCATGTCGATCTCCAAATAACTAACAAAAGTCATCTGGGTTCCCTCCCTCATGTCCAAGCAAACGTTGGTTCCTCTAGGATGTCAAATCTCTCTATGAGTCCACGGGATCTTGCTTATGATATTAATTATGATATTAGTAACTAAGAAGCTCTTTAGTATATGTCTTTGAAGCTTCTAAGTAACAACCAAGCTCTTTAGAAGGAAGCTTCCTTGGGAATCGTTTCACCCCCGCGCGTCCTGGGGTCGGTCCCAGACTTGACCAAACCGTTCGACACCAAATCAGGACCATCGGGGAAGCACCCAAAAAGTGGCCGCAAAGTACCAGACTTCGCTGACATAAAGAACATGATAGAATAATTGTGATAGAAAAGTGAATCCCCGCTCAAGTAACAACTTCTTGATCTATTTTGGGACCACAGACAAGTCTTTGGCAGATGTAAAGATGCATAAAGAAGATCTCTTCGGCCCTGATGAGTCTCTACCACAGTCCGGTGATGGAAAATACAAGGTGACCGCAGTCCTCATGATACGTACCATTAAGCTTGACACATGCTGCCAAAGGCCTTCCTGGTCTTGAAAAGGGGCCACTAGAGGATCACGGCCCATGGTTTGTACCCCAATTCCTCCTGCAAGATTGGCACGAGCTTGCCCCGTTCATCACAGGTTTGTGGAAGGAATTTTTTGTCCAAGAATCGATTCGACACAGGTTGTGCTTAGGCTTGAAGTGGGAGTGGGAGCCTGGCGAACCCAGAGAATGGTTCCCATGGTAGAGACTGTTCTGTGAAGTGCCTGTGGCGTTGCCCACACCGGAGCACCGGAGCAGTCATCGGCCAAGCAGCACCACACTTTGATCTGAAGAAAGCAGACTGGTCCTCAGCACACTGGTGGCCAAGCTGCCCAGTTGTCACATGTTCTGAAAAAAATGGTGAGCATCTCCTCTGGTGGGTGGATGGAAAAACCGGCACAGATCAGACGTGGCTCCAGCATCAAAGACATCCAGTTTAACCCAACGTAGGGAAGTCCAACTACAGCAATGGCCTCCAACCCAATAGCGATGGCCTCCACATGATTAGTATTAGTTATAGATCCCCAAAGTAGCTTAAACGACAGTAAACATCATTTGGTGCCCCTACCTTTGAGGAGCATCACTTGTGCTCGACCCACCCAATCCTCCAACCGAACATGACGGTCCCCTTCCCATCATCTCTAAGCGTCGTGAGCGACGTTGAGCTGTTTTGCTGTGAACCGCTGGCACTGGGTGAAATCAACCTGGCACCCATGATGATGGCACAGGCAATGGAGGTTGGGGTTTGGTGCGGCATGGCGAAAACCATGGCCAGGTTAGAACCGCCACCGGCGCTCAGTCGCTCGCCCTGGGCGATCGGTCCCTCAAACGTGGTGACTCCCAGGAGCTACGTTCGTCCTCGTGCTCCTAGTAGTAATGCCCTTGTTAGTAGCGATGCCAGGAGCCTGTAGTAGCTTCTTGTTACTACTAGTAAGGCACTTGTTACTAGAAGCGATGCATTTGTTACTAGTAGCTTCTTGTTACTAGTAGTAATGCCCTTGTTAGTAGCGATGCCCTTTGTTCCGTTCGTAGCTTCTATCTGAAAGACATTGTCAACACTTCTTGGGTACTTGGTGCACTGAGCTGGGCGCATGCCATTTTTTGGTGGGGGCGAAACCTAACTAGCCACTTTCCGAAGTGTATAGATACGGTAGATATGGAGAGAGAACAAAAATGCCACAACACCTGAAATACTTTGACAGCACGGGCAGGATGTTGTCCCTTAGCGGCTGGAACCCATCAAACCTTGGTGCTAGACAAAGAAATAACTCCAGCATTCAGCGGATTTGTTCCCTTTGAAGCTTCCAGTATTTGGCCACCAACCGCTTTGTTTCTTGGTCAGCCCCCCAACTCTGCCTGTTCTCAGCCGTCGGCCTCATGCTGAAAAGGATAGCAATCACATGTCCAGAAGAACTTTAGTCTCCAGATGAGCCCCCAAAAATGAATGATCTACTTGGTTGATGGAGGCCATGTCTTTGGAAATGCCATCTAGAAGGAAAACCCATATATCAATAAGAAAAGGACAGAAAAGGTGTTTTTAGCCAGAAATACTACGTGACGTGGTGGTTGTTGGTCTTTTGACGCTCTCATGTGATCTTTGTACTCTCTGTCTGCATGGGCATGCAGAATTCATGCTCGTGTGGATCTCATCACCGAGCGTGGTTTGGGGTGCTCGCTCGTCGTCGTCGTCGAAAGGTCGAACGATGTCGGGTCGAACGATGTCAGAAAGCCGAACCGTGCGTTCTGTGTCGGTTTGTGCAATGTGCGTTCTGAAATGAGAAAAACTAAACAAAAACTAGACTCTTTTTAGATGGTCAAAGATGTTCTTGCTGAAGCAATGATGCCACTCCCAAGGATCATCCGCATAGCCTGTCCCTCCATGTCGATCCACAAAAGCAAGAGCAAACAATGTTTTATGTTTGAATTGATCAAATATGATCAAATACTATACCCCCAAGTCGTAAAGGCGCAAATCCGATTATCAGCATGTAGGAACAAGTTTAAGCAACCATGACTTGAAAGACCAAGCATGTTGTACCAGTGGACAGGTGAAGAGGTTCTTCGCCCAGGATTCCGCCTGAGGCCCCGACGGCAAGCGAAGAGCACCCCGCCGCGTGAGTAGCTCCGTCCGCTCTTCCGACCATGCCTGGAAGAATTTGGGTCAGATGGATCGATTTGACAAACAACCCGGGGATCAGGATTCATATTCAAATTGGCTGCTTTCACAACGGACATGAGTCTCTGTCTCTATTCCACGGTACGTGATCCTTCGACGAATTCCAAAGTCACACCCACATATATAAGACAACTAAGTAGTTCAAGACATTGGCTCGAAACACATCAAGGTTGTTTCAAGATGATAGTGCTGCTTGGAGGTATATAGGGTCTAATATAGGTTCAATGTTGAAGGATTGGAGGGTCAACAGTGGCGGTTCAGATCTTTACCCGCCTGCGTCTCTTTCTCTCTCTCCTGCTTCTCCTTCGCCAAGAGTTTCTGCAGTTCTTCAACTTTGTCCTCCGCCGCCTGCAACGCCGAATTTTGGCTGCAGGATGCAGCGGGCTCCACAAACGGATTCAACACAATGGAAGTCTGCAATGAACATGAGGATGGATTTGACCGGCCAACCGATCCTCCAAAATGAAGAGGTTTTGCAAAAGTTAAGATCAAACGAGGTGCCCATAACTGCGATACACCTTTCTTTCTTTCTGTCTTTCTTTCTTTCTTTCTTTCTCTCTTTCTCTCTCTCTCTCTCTCTCTCTCTTTCTCTCTCTCTCTCTCTCTAGTCGCAAGCATATGCACGACATCGTCTGTAAAGGAAAGCATGGCCAAACTGTGCTATTGCAAGCCATTGAAACAAGCTCATACATCATCTGCTGTGACAAGTCCGGTTGGTGCCCCTCACTTGAAAAATGAAAAGTTGCTGTTCGGTGTCTGGATGTGAAATGTGTCCTTCTTCCCAAACATGTTGGGTGATGGGTTTCAGATGGTTTCGGGCTTTTCCAAATCTTCCAGTGTCTCTGTGTCAAGCTTTGTCACAACTGCGAGAAATATGTTGCACAAAGACCCGAGAAATTCAACCAGTTTGCAGTAACTAACGTTGCAGCAATGAATGAATGTTCCTCTACCAGGTGCATGCTATACTGGAGAATAGCACCAAATACAACACATATCTAGCAAGGAGTTGTGCAACTGTTGCTCCTTGGTTCCCTGTTTAATGAGGAATATGGATCCCCCGGCTTCTTAGCTCCCTTCTGAGCACCAGCTAGATACTACACGTGTAAGTAAGTGTGAAACAAAACTATATACAAATATTTAAATACTACCCGTATAAATAAATGCCAATCAAAACAAATACTTAAACTAATATCTATATATATAACTATATATTTAAATATACTAATGCTAGGGTCAGCTTGGCGGGTCTTTTCCCGACTGTCTGTGCTCCACCCATGCTCCACGGTTCGCCTTCTGGGCCTTGATTGCAGCGTCTCGAGCGGCACTGCTGCTTCGCATGGCCTGGAGACCACATGGGAGTCACTGCCGCTCACCGGTTTTGGTCTCGATTTTCCCCATAGCGCTCTCCAGAGAGATCCGTTTTTCTGTGTTTCTCTCTGTTTTGAACTTTGTAAGTTCTAAGTAGTTCGGAAACTCTGCAAATAAACATCACTTAGCTGTTCAACATCAGCCCCAGAGACGGGTCTCTCTCCAAGTTATCCCATTCTCCCACAAACACCTCAACCACCCGCCCATCTCTGCGTTCAAGAGTGTTTTTTTCCGTCAGCATTGAGAACCAGTCAGAAGCATCCGGACGATCCCGTACGTACCTTGCGTCGTCTACTCACTGATCATACTGTATGACATGCCATCCGATCTACTCCACGATCGCGCTGAAAACTCGGCACGCTCGCGCTTGGCCCTTGCGCCCACATGCCATGCCTCGGCATAGATCGCTTGGATCTTGGCGATAGCACGAGCAAAGCTCTCGCTGGTCGCGGGCCAGTCCTTGTGTTAGACATGTCATGTCGTGTGGAGAAGAGTGGGGCTTCATGATTCTAATCTAGAGGACCCTCTGTCAATCAAGGGTATCCACTTGGTATCCACAAACTGTCTACCTGACCTAACCAGGTGTCTTGCAGAGTTCAGGGTCCGAGACAAAACATGACAAACCCAATTCTATGCGGTAGTTCGTCCTTTGTTCTTTTGCCTTTCCACGGCTAGTGGGGAAGTTTGCATGTGACCGCTCCACAAGAACCACCGGCTATCCAGAATGGAAATGAGCAACATCAGGCCAAGGACAACTCAGATGGTTAAAAACCTCAAAACGCTGTCCAATACCTTTGGGTTCAAGAGTTCAAACATGTTTAAACCAATTCAAGGCACTTGGACAAGACTGGCACCGACTTAGGATCCACAAACTAATCATTGTTAGCTTTACTTGCCGAGCTCTAGAGGACTCACAGGAGCCACATTCTGCGATGATCTGGGTCATGTCAGTCAGTCGAATCAGTCGAACTACATGACTTTACAATCGGAAAAACACAGTTCACTGCCATGGCATCACTTGACCAAACCACCACATCTGACACCTCAAACCCGGTCCCTCTGGTGCTCACCATTGTCCACCTGAAGCCGCAACAACTCCGGATTCGGCCGCTCCTCGAAGTCTGCGGCAACGGCCTGAATTTGATCCGCCTGAATCGATTTGGTCGGAAGGAAGAGTTCTGGGCAACACCAACACCACTGCTTTTCAGCAACCAATAGGCGATCACTTTTGAAGGTGCCGGGAGGTGCGGGATTTCTTCCTTCAGTCGGAGCATACCAACCATGATCCATATGCATCTGATCCAATGGGAGATTCGTCCGAGCGGAACTCCTGGACATCAGCAAACCACAATAATGCATAATATATATGGAACAAAGAACCACATGACACTGCCTGTCTTTTCGATCTGCAGCAACAAACAAATCGAAACGTACGTCAAATCTTGTCAAAGTCTTCTATCTCTCGCATGTTCAACATCTTCACCTTCACCTTGTTGAAAACGTTGAAACATGGGCCGTACACATTCATATCTTCGTAGGGCGGTCACAAATACTCTCATCCTTCACTGGACGCTCACGTCACGGTCACGTCTGTCTCTCGGTCTCGTCCCGCGCCGCAACCGAAGAGACGGGTAAACTTCCTGGGGAGGCCTCGGAGGCCTGGCGCCGGTGCGGGGAAGACCGAGTTCTAGAGCCGGAAGACCTGAAACTAATCGGTGGGATGCTGAAACTGGCATTCTGAAACTAAGTCAAGAACCAAGACTGTTGCAGAATCAAAACACGTAGTTGTAGAATCAGAGTTGCGGAAACAAGACAGCTGCCGAATGCTGGTTGCGGAATCTCAGTTGTGAACGTGATTGCCCCCACCCAAGCCCCCCAAGCCCCTCACCCCTCACCCCTCACCACCTCAATCCCCCACCTATACGCTCCAGCATCTGTTTGACGTTTTGGTTGTTCAGATTTCACTGTTGCTGAGACAGTTGTGGATTCTAGTTGCGGAATCAAGATAGTTGCGAAATCCTAGTTGCAGAAGCAAGACCGTTGTGGAATCCTAGTTGCAGAAGCAAGACCGTTGCAGAGCCCATTTTGTGGAATCAAAACACTTGCGGCACTTCCGGCACCCCAGTTGTGGAACTCCTGCGCAATGCAGTTGCAGAATCTGACTTTATCCTGTAATTGATGCATTCTGTGATCCAGATCTCCTCCTTTAAGTCAAAAGGCTGGAGATGGCTAGTCTAGTCAGCTGCATGTCTTGTGTGATCCCTATTATTGTTCTGGAAAAGGTTAATCCGAGCTATATAATCCCTTCTAAAATGCATGGAACACTGCTGTGAAACTATCAGTCTACTTGGGGACCTCTGTTTTACTTGTATAGTTCATATATATATATATATATTGTATGCAGTCATCTCCAATAGATTGGGAGTTTCAAAACATCCACAGACGAGTGACCAGGACGTAATTTTTGAGAACAAATGCTGTTTGCATATCAAAGTGGTCCTGGACGAGCGTGTTTTGGCCACAGAGCTGTAGCTCCAAGCAATAGCTGTTTGTATGCTTGTTGACATGGTCCATCTGAAGCAGCCAAAGGTTGGTCACAACTTGACTTCTGGCATCGCTACTAGTTTCTAGTAGCAAGAAGCTACTGGTAAATTGTATTTGGTCCACTCCATTCCTGCTGGGTGGTCATAAACTTTTAACATCGCTGGGGAGAAAGAGCGCCAACTCCATGGACTCTATGGTTCAACCGTGCGACCAGAGTGGAAAAGTGCACAAGGTTCGGTTGCTCAGGGTTTATTTTAGTCAAGGGCGGGCCCCGGGCCCCTGGTGAGCTTTCCCCACCTTCTCGGCTGGTGTGGCTGGTCCCAAACAACCCCCAACTCCGCAGAAGTGTCTTCGTCTCCAGGCCTCCATCGGTGAGAAGGCAGAGGATAACATACTCATGGACCCTTGGCTAATACCTGAAGGAGTCCGTTTGCATGGACAAGCTTCCGGCCATCTGACCTCGGCCTTCCAAAAAGATCCCCAAACTTGGACCCTGGTCATCCCTATAGTCATCCCACCAAGCATGGCTGCCCCAAGACTGCGCCCCACACGTTGCCCGAAGACGGAGCATGTCACATGCCGGACATCAGGAAGCTGGGTGTCCCTCGGTTTCAGCAAATGACCTTTCAGCAGGTTTCTCGTTGACCAATTTTTTCCTCTGGTCATGTTAAATCCCGGGTCTTGCCTGAGAAGTCCACAGTTTCGTCAGTCTAGTTCATCTATATATGAGAATCATGTCCTCTTCCCATCAAGAGATCACCGTGGCTCTCTTGAGATAAGCTTCGCAGTTCAACATGCCAAAAGAGTCGCCCTTAGCAACCTCCCACCAGTCTTTTGAACGCAAGATGCACCTCAAACAAACGAGGCTCCCAAGCCGGTGTCGGAGTCACAAACACTGGAGCTGTGAGACGTTCTCCACGCAAAAACGGGAGAAAAGCAAGGAATCACCGAAAAAACGGGAAACAACATGAAGGGCCAACAAAAAACACGGAACATACACCTATACCGATATATTCCGATACCCCTATGCGCCTGGATTCCGTACAGGCGGAGCTCCCTGCTGCACCTTACAGACCTGTACTTTACCTTTTTCCCGTGGGTATTAATTAGGTTCTGTTAAATATGTAATCACCTGTGTATTGGTTGTTAGGAAAGTTTCCCACTGACCTCTCACAAGCAAATCTGCTCTAAGTCCTTCTATTTGGGGCCCTCACATGTGCACAGTAGGATCGCCGAAGCAACACCGCAACCCACATCTTCAGCCAAGATGCTTCGGGTCACGTCGGGAAATGCTGAAAGGGATGAAACGGGTAAAAGACTGCCCAGATTCCTCGTGCCGTGCGGCAGGGCGCAGGGCTTGGTGGATGGCACACAGCGCATGTGTCGCACGCATGAGTTCAAGAAAAAGCACCGCGGAACACTGGAACACTGCATCGGCTGCATCAATCTGTGGAGTGCACCTTGGAACCGAGCATAGGATTGATCCTCCTTCTTTGGAGGTGTGGAGTCATCCCTAGGTGCTCAGCGTTCAACCAGGGGAATCCTCGATAATCGGCCTCCCATCCCACCATGGACACCTTGCTGCCAGACTCTATCAAACCCCAGGTTCTTAACTCATCCACTGGCTAGGGCCCTTGCGTGGCTGGGGGATGCCACTCGATCTTCTTTTCCAGCCACCCAATGAGAATCTTGGCAGTAATGGTCCAGGTTGATTCCACCTTCGCAGGCCTTCTCATCCGCACCAGTGGCATTGTTGGAGAACATCTTCGACCACATATATATATATATATAATTTCTTATCCGACAACCCTTCCCATGTCCATAATCCTCCGACAGTCATTTTAACCTTATTTGTCGAACATGGGTGTTTAGATGTTTTGTTTCTCCAAGAGGCAAATGTTTGAAACCATTCCCCCCAAAATACAAACAAATCGGCAAACATGGCGAGCTCTCCTGGTGGAGTTGGGCGTCTCGGGGGATCGAGCTGGAAGCGACTGCGAGCTGCACCTGGGAAACCAGCAGCGCGCCCCGAGGACCGGCAGCTGGCAAGCATCTGGGGGCAATCTCTGAAGGCGCTCAGGGGTAGTGAAAATACACCGTTTGGGACAGTGAAGAATGTCTAAATAATCCTAAGTCTATATATATAGGATTCAGCATGTTTTTCATGTCTACTGGGATATGCCTTGACTTGCAGCAAGGGAACACCCAAATGAAATCGAAGGTGCAAAAAAAGAATAAAGAAACACATGCGAAGTCGTCCACTTTGCAAGAAACTTGCGATGCCTTGGAAAAAATTGGCAGTCCTTATTTGCAGTGAAAAACATCTGATGCAGTCCTGCGGTCGGCCCCCTGCTACAAAACAGTATATAGTAATTAATATACTGCAACTCCGACAAGTTGTACAGCAAGCGCCTGACAAATTGGTTGAATGCTTGATTGAATGAATGAATGAATGAATGATTGATTGATTGATGTATTTATTTGTTCTGATTGATTGATTGATTGATTGATTG